ATAGACTAATTTTCAATAAGTTTTAACATAAACCAAATAGGGTTTAACACCATAATGGATTGAACATCTAAGGCTTTTTACCTAGATTGACCTTAGGTTCCTTCATGCATTCATATCATACATGAAAAATTATTTTATGTAAAAATATTGACTAAGTATGAAAAATGGGTTTTCGGAATAATCATTTTCTCAAGATAATTTTTGGTGGCTTTTATTCCTCCCACATCAAATAAGAAAACTTGATTTTATGGGATTTTAGTATGAAGTATATATTGACTTAATGAGCCATCATTTTTAGCCTAAATCGTATTTCGCACTAAAACCGATTTTTCATAATTTGATTTGGTGGGAATTTGATTTTCTAGTATTTTTATTTGAATCCAAATGGGGGGTACTTCCTTATTTACATTGTAAACTTAAGTAAATGTCTTTGTCATTTTACTTAAATTGAGTAATATAAAAGTAAAATGACAAAGACATTTACTTAAATGTTGAAAATGGAAATAAGGTAATCTGTACACCTCCACTGACTAGGCTAATATTGAAAATAAGTTAAATATATAGGTTTATATTTTTTTCCTTAAAAAACCACATTGGGCTACAACCCACTGTAGCCCTTAGTGTGGTTCCGCCCATGGTTTTAACAAAATTTTGACGGAAAGGATCAAATTTGTTAACAGATACAAACACAAGGACTAAATTGTCCAAATTAATAATACGGGGACTAAATTGGCCGATAAGTTAAAACACAGGGATCATTTCGACATTTAAGCCTAAAATTTAATCTAAGGGATTTAAAAGTTGACACATCATCCTAAAACAAAAACCCAATTTACTCCTAATTCAAAAAGAAAAAAAAACTCTAACACCCAACTAACGTCCAAAGCTGTTTTTTTTCCTTCTTCTTCTTCGTGTTCTGTCCTCTTCTCTTTTTTTCTCCTTCTTCTTCGTGTTCTGTCCCCTTCACTTTTTTTTTTCTTCTTCTTCGTGTTCTGTCCTGTTGAAAGACAAATCTTTTTTTTTTTTCCTCATCAACCAAACAATGAGCATACGCTTATTAATGATCTGATTTCTCAAACGAGAGTAAAAATATATAAAAAAATTAACTGAAAAATATGAATGATATCAAAATATTAATTAATCAATTAAAAGTTTAATACTAAAACATGAAAAGAAAAGAAAACTCTCATTCTCTCAGATTGACCCAGATCTTGCTCCAATTTGATTGGAGAGAAGGCTGTTTATTGCCCTTTACTTTGTCAAAAATATATATAGTATATGTTATTTATTTCTAAAATACATGTGCTATATTCTCTACATTTGGATTGTTTTTTTAATGATATGGCAGCATTACAGTGAAAGTAAAGCAGATCATGGCAGAGAAAATCAGAGTAGAGGATCTATTCCTAATCCATAGGGATTTCTTCCTAATACCTGAAATTTTATAAATATATAGTCATTTTAAATTTATTTCAAACGTATTTTATGTATAATTTTTTTCAAATTTATCTTTTAAAACTTTATTTAAACAAACCTAATCTTATATATTTTTTTGTTGGAAAACCTAATCTGATCGTGAAAATCGTCTCTCATTTTGTTGGTATTAATGGGAATATCAATTTTTTTCTCATTTACTACAGATTACTGGAAACCAAATACGCATAAAATTGCTCAAATCTACTAATTTCTGATGTAAGATTAGTGGATGGCCCTTCAAATAGAAAATCATCTCTTTTTTATATTAAAAAAATGGGAATATCAAATTTTTTTCCTCATTTACTACAAATGACTAGAAACCAAATAATACGCATAACTTTGCACAAATCTACTAATTTCTGAAATAAGATTAGTAGATGGCCCTTCAAATAGAAAATAAAATTTGCACAAAAGGTGCCTGGGATTTGACCAAAAAGAAAAGTGACATTAATTTGAGAAATCTGATTCTAAATTGTTATATAAGGATCGTGTAGTGGATATTGGTTTTCATTTCCCATTCGTAATCCTTCAAATAACATGGCAGTAGCCTATGAAAAAATTTTATGGGTGGCCTCTGTGCTTGTGCTACTTTTAGGCTTTGCCTCATGCTCTTCACAGGGTGGTGGTGAATTTACCCACAGAAGCTTAAATTTTTGGAAAGCAGCCAGGGCCCGTGTTCCACCAACTGGACCACCTAACACTGGAACATCAAGAAAATTCAACTTTGGTACTTTGCCAAAGGGCACTCTAATTCCTCCGTCTTGGCCTAGCAAAAGAACTTCAAGACCTCCCCCTCCTCCTCCTCATCCTTCCAACTTTGGTACTTTGCCAAAGTACACTCCAATTCCGCCATCAGGGCCTAGCGGAAGAACTTCGGACCCTCCTCCTCCTCCTTTCAACTTTGGTACTTTGCCAAAGTACACTCCAATTCCGCCATCAGGGCCTAGCGGAAGAACTTCGGACCCTCCTCCTCCTCCTTTCAACTTTGGTACTTTGCCAAAGTACACTCCAATTCCGCCATCAGGGCCTAGCGGAAGAACTTCGGACCCTCCTCCTCCTCCTTTCAACTTTGGTACTTTGCCAAAGTACACTCCAATTCCGCCATCAGGGCCTAGCGGAAGAACTTCGGACCCTCCTCCTCCTCCTTTCAACTTTGGTACTTTGCCAAAGTACACTCCAATTCCGCCATCAGGGCCTAGCGGAAGAACTTCGGACCCTCCTCCTCCTCCTTTCAACTTTGGTACTTTGCCAAAGTACACTCCAATTCCGCCATCAGGGCCTAGCGGAAGAACTTCGGACCCTCCTCCTCCTCCTTTCAACTTTGGTACTTTGCCAAAGTACACTCCAATTCCGCCATCAGGGCCTAGCGGAAGAACTTCGGACCCTCCTCCTCCTCCTTTCAACTTTGGTACTTTGCCAAAGTACACTCCAATTCCGCCATCAGGGCCTAGCAGAAGAACTTCGAGCCCTCCTCCTCCTTCTCCTCCTACTCATCCTTTCAATTTCAGGATGCAGCATTCCGGGCCTTCATACGGTCCACCTCGCTATGAGATTCCACCTCCTCCCGCATTTTAGCAATTTCAATCACCCTATTCCTAGGGTGCCAACTACTATTTTAATTTTTTTTTTTGGGGAGGAAACTACTATGTTAATTTTCTAGGTTCCAATTGATGTGTATGAAATGATGATTATGATATCTATTATTTTAAATAAAGAAGGTTCATGATGGATCATATGTTAAGGTAATGAAATATTGTCACTCTAAAGTTAGCGCTTTATTTTTGAATGACATTGTAACGTGTTAGTGATTTTAATTGAAATATGGTGCTCTTAACTTATTCGTGCTTGGAGGAAATTTATTTATATAACTTTGTTAGTTAGAACGTTGTTATGTTTATTCTTGAGGATGATAACCACTTGGAGTTGTCTAAAGATTTTTCATGTGGGGTTGCTTACAGGATTGTAGTTTATTTGTTGGAAGTTAACTTTTAATATTTCAGCCACCTCATCCCGGCCAGCCACCACTGCCACCAAAGCAGCCCAGTCACAAAATCCAAAAGACTTTTCAACCCACCCAAATTCAAGGAGAAACGAAATCAAAATTAATTCATATCGTAGCAGAATTCAAAACCCAAATTTAATTAACCCCAAATATTAAAAAATAATTCATGTAATCTAATGATCTGCTGGACCAGACGAGTGGTTGAGATAGGGAGGGAAAAGGTGGGGCTGCCGTAGTTGGGTGGGAAGATTGGCTGGCGATAAGCTAGGGAAGGTGGGCTGCAGTAGTGGGGTGGTTCTCTGTATAGATCTTTCCTTTTTCTTATCCATATAATTAATCTACTCAATTTCTAAAATGTTTTATACAATGCTATAAGCTTATCATTTTGACAGCTCCAATAAAAAAACTTAAGACCATCTTCAACTATTGGGGTGAAAACCCAAATTTTCAGTTTTGAGCCCAAAATTCCTCTCCAACTCATGTATTTTGGGAGTGAAAATTTGAGAAAGGTGAAATTTGGGGTGGAATTCCAGTCCAAGTTTTGTCTAGTAATTTGTGTGGAGCCCAAAGCCTGTTTTGCAACCCATGTGAAGAGGAAAAAGAGGTGGGCCTCGCGTGACAGCAAAGCTGTCTGGCCAGTAGCCCTTTTGCTCAACACATGGTAGCTTCAGGAGAGAAAGACGTTGGAATCCAACGATTGGGAAAAGTTGGGTGGTTTTTTTTTTAATTGCAAAAGCTGGGTTGTACT